TCTGAGTGAGAGGGACACTGGGAACTTGATGTTCTGTTCTTATCTCGCACGGGGACATCTCTGTAAGATTTAAGTGCAGAGAAGCACAAAAGCAGGGGAGAGATGTTTTCCTCTTGAGTAGTGAATAACAGCTCGCAATCAATGAAGGAAGCCTGTGTGAATGTGTGTGTGTGTGTGAGAGAGAGAGCTCCACATCCATCCAAGTAAAGCCTCATTCATGCGCCCCCGTTATCACACTGAATGGCCATGTTGTTTCCTTTCACTCGTTCTGTTTGAGTCGCTGAATAAACCAGATATGTGTGGCTTATCCGAGGTCATGAAGGCTACTTTTATGGTGCCGCTGTGAGCAGGTTGGTGCTTAATTATTAGATTTGTACAATGAAAACATTCGACTGGATGTGAGTGGGCTGTATAAGAAACAAGGAGCAAATTAATAATAATAATAATAATAGTAAAACATTCACTGTGAAAAACAGGTTGTCCATAGTGAGATATATAAACACACTTACAGCTTGCTTGGCTGCAGAAAAACATTCATACTCTTTACAGGATCCAGTGAGTCTGGCCACAGCTTACCCAGCAGCTGTGAAATATTGTTTTGAGGTGGGCAGAAAGAATTATGTATTTCACAGTGTTACTGCATGAAGAGATGCAGGCGGCACAATGGTTTGTTTAATTATGAAGGACAAATCAGGTGGCAAAAAACAAAGAATTAATGATTTAATTTTATAGTTTTCATCATTTCTCTGATTGTTTATTATCGGTCCATTTGCTTAAGGTTATCAGGGCCGTGGGAGGGAGGCGGTGGAGTGTGAGGGTGGTGGTTAAATGGTCACTGTTTAGTGCAGGCATTTGTGGCCTCCCAAGACTTTCTCTGGCACTGACACTAAGTTTGAGGTTTTACGAATGTTGTCCCTGTGGGATGGATTACTATAAAATTTCCAACCATCCATCCATCAGTCAATCAATTTCTTAACCACTTGTCCAATTGAAGGCTGGAGGGGAGCTGGAACATATCCCAGCTGTCATGGGGCGAGATACCTGGACAGGTCACCCGTCTGTCACGGGGCTAACTCAGAGACACAGGCAATTATTCCCGCTCACATTCAGAAGGAGAACATTCAAACTGCACAGGAAGATCCCAGCCGGCTGGTGGATTCGTATCCAGGACCTTCTTTTTCCTTCACCACCATCAGCAGGTTAAGTGTTATATACTTAACATTGCAGTGGTTAACATGTGTGACTTGCACATGAAAGATCACAAGTTGGAAACAGGGAGAAAACATGAACCCAGCATCAGGGAGCCACAAGTTAGTGCACTCCCCAGTGCTCCTTCCAAGCACTGAGGTCTGTGTCAGGAAGGCTTCCAGTGCTAAACCCACTATGTGGATTGATTTGCTGTGGCGACCCCTTGGAAAATAAAAGATTGACTGAAAGTACCGTTATACTAATGAGAAAATGTCTAAACTAAGGTTTTGAACCTGATTATTTTTTCCTCTTAATATTTAGTTCATTGAGTTGAGTTTTTAAGATATTATCATTATATTATTATAAAGCATATATACAAGAAAACAGCTCATCCAGACTTAAATAAAAGTTAAATTAAATTAAACTTTGACCGCTCTTTTTAAAGATGCCTATTACAAGCAGCCAAATCAAATCTTGGCATTGACTGTCTCACTACACTTGTAAGAAATGGCCACTTGCAGTGAGAGTTATATACAACTCCATTTCTAAAAAGGTTGGGATGTTGTATGAAATGTCAATTAAAACCAAATACAACAGTTTTCAGATAGAAAATAGAACAAAATAGAACAATAGAACCAGAAACCATGTTAAATGTTTAAACTGAGATGTTTCACTATTTCATGAAAAAAAAAAATGCTTGTTTTGACTGTGATGTCAGCAACACGTCCAAAAAGGTTGGGAAAAAGCTGGAAAAGTAAGTGCTGCTAAAAAGAATGGCGTTGAGGAATATTATGTAACTGAGCAAGTTAACTGACAGCAGGTAAGTAACATGATTGGGTATAAAAAGAGCATCTTAGAGAGGCAGAGCTTCTCAGAAGTAAAAATGTGCAGACGTTTACCACGATGATGTTCCTCTTGGTACATTTATAAAGACAGCAATAATCTCATCTACAGAACATAATATTGTCAAAATGTTCAGATAAGCTGGAGAAATCTCTGTGTGCAAGGGACAAGGGTGAAATATTGGATGCCCGTGATGTTTGGGCTCAGAGAGCACTTCAGTAATAACAGATGACTCTGACGTGGAAATCACAGCAGGAACACTTCCAGAAATCTCTGTGAACACAGCCCACAGGGGCATGCATAAATACAGGTTCAAGCTCTAAAATGCAAAGAAGCCAAATGTGACAACTATCCAGTAACATCGCTTTCAAAGCTCCTTTAAATGGGTTGAAGCAACCTGGAAAACTGAAAATCTGAAATTTGTCTTCAGCCTTTATCTCTGATGGTATTGAGGTGCATTAGTGCCTATGAAAATCATAGTGTGCACACCTGGAAAGGCAGCACCGGTGCTGAGAAGTTTATGCAGGTTTTAGAGCAGCATGTGCTCCAATCCAGAAGGGAAGATCTTGCATATTTCAGTAAGGCAACGCTAAACTGCATCTGTTACAACAGCACGACTTCACAATAGAAGGTGCTGAACTGGCTGCCTGCGATCCAGATATTTCACCAACTGACAACATTTGGAGCACCATGAAATGAAAAATACAATAAAGAAGTCCCAGGACTGCTGCGCAGCTATCACACAACTATCAGACAGCATTCCTCTGCCAGAAGTCCAGCAGATGGTCTCCTGAGTTCCCAGATGTTTAAGGACATCTGGGAACTTCCTCAGCTTACCCATTTGACATGTTTTCTGTGTCTTATTGTAAATAAAATACAGGTTTATGGCATTTAGATATTATTGCATTCTGTTTTTATTTACAGTTTAAAAAGCATCCCAACATTTTTGGATGTAGTAATTAATATCATATTAGATAGTAATTCTTATCCAATTCAGGATTGCAGGGAATTCAAATTTACCTGACAGAGAACTGCAGCTTATTTTTGTTTATCTCAGAAATGCGTGACTCGAAGTCTGCATTCAAAGCCAGAGCGCAGAGAAACTTATCTGCCACGTGTGCATCAGTGTATGAGGAGACGATGGAACACCGTGTTAGAGATTCATTTATCATGTCAAACTTCAGGTTATTGCTCGCTACATCTGTTTGTAGAATCAAAAACTTGGCACACGCTCCACAAGAAAAACAAGACAAGTGAAACATATGAGAAATGCAAAAAAAGCAGTAATTTTACTTTCCCCCTGTGATTACTCCCATTTGTAAATGACTGACTCTATACAGTTGAACCACTTTCATCACAAATGACTCAAAAATGTTCTGGTATCACATATCATATCATATATCATATTAAAAACAGGCCTCGATCGATCTTAATCTTAATCTTAAAGCTATTTGTCAATGTGATGGGACAGAAAGGCTCTTTATATTGTATACATGAGACACAGACCAGCTGTACTGGGGAGGTTTTCAATCTTTCTGACTTCTGATATATGGGTATATTTTTTTTCTTTCAGCAGTTCAGATATGAGTTGGATTCTAAGGTTTTATGTGAGAATCCCAATGAGGTGGGCCGCTGCTGACCCGTGTTTATGTTCCCACACTCTTTTTATTATTTGAGTAAATCCTAATGTGCCTCTAAGTTACTATACATGGCATATTTTGCCAAAAGATCCCAAGACAATGAGTTTTTGTATTTTGGAAGCCCACCATGCTCCTGGTTTGCTGTGTTATCTTCAGGTAATTTGATTAAGCAAAACTATTTAGAAATATGTTCCCAGAAAGCACGACTTAATCTCAAAGATGTTTCAAAAATTGTTTTTGACACACGTTGTCTCTGGGCCAAGGGATTAGGTACAAAAGCAGGGCCTCTATGAAGTTCTTCTCAGTTTTTATTCCACTCGTACAAACATGAAAAAATAATAAAATTAAAAAATAAATAAAATAAAAATCCTCCACTTACCACAAACTAACAGTAACACATAAAAACCACAGGATCTGGGGCCCACAGAGCACGTTTGAAATCCAGCATCAATGTGGTTTTTTTTTTAAAAAAAGCTGTTGTTCTTGCCGTGCAGATGCTAATGTTTAGTGAATATTTTTGCAATGCCAACAGCAAAGCAGGGGCTCCGTTGGAAGAAAAAAAAAAATCTAGACCATTCTTTAATATAATTTCCAGGTTTCTCTAATGGAATATCACCACTTTTAACAAAGAGCACATGAGGAAACCATACTGAGGTGGCACGGCATACAGTAAAATACATATTCCACTGTTTCCAGTGAAAACCACAGATGCAGGGAGCACTCTCTGTGATGGGGAGCCAAAATATGTATACATATATATATATTTATGTTCACATAGTCCAGCAATTCCCTTTGAGGTTCCACAAGACCAATAAATCCGACCCTGTCTTTTTCAATTTAGTAATTCCTCAGTGTAGACTGACTGGTCTTCAACCAGCTTCTGCTGTGCCTCGAGCCCATCACGTCGCGAGTGCGTGTTTCAGTCCTCGTTCGCAGTCCACCTCCTCTTTCACAGCCAGAGAGAAACCTGAGGGAACCAACCAGCCAAGGCGTACGTCACTCACAGATTTCTCCTCCTTTAGCCCCTTAAAGTCCGCTATTTATCTTCTAAACGTTAGACTGATTGTTTTTGTTGTTGTTGTTGTTGTTTTTTTGCACCATTGTCATCAACAGATCTCATCATCATCATGAGGAAGATCACCGGCAAACACTTGTTGTGCTTCTTCCTGCTTGCCTTGCCGCTGTCCTGGGCAGAGGACACCAAGAAGGATGTGCGGAAAAGGGAGAATGTGACAGGTAAGGATCGATGAGCGCAGACCTGATTTGATGTCGTTTTTATTTATTTATGATTATTATTATTAAAAAGTGTCGTGAGGCTGGAGCCTCACCGAAAATACCGCTGCTTACAGTGCTGGATAGATAATGTAGCTGACACAGAGTGATGTGGGTCTGTGGGTCTGTGGGTCTAAGGACTGAGCACTTATTATAAACCGATGCGTTATTCTAAGCAGACTAATAAAATCATTAAGAAAAACAACAATAATTAAATAAATAATTACATAACTAAATCCATCTGAGAGGAGTGATCTTCTTTACGACCCGAAAATAGTAAAACTTAACGAACTCCCAGTCCAGGCAGCCCACACGCTAAAGCTTTGATAACAGCAGGATTTAATTTAGCATTGTTAATGCATAGCGTTGGTTTACAATCGTTATGGGGGGGTGGGAGGTATATGTCACATATTTGTCACATTTTGTAAATGTATCATTGTGTTTTCAAATTTAAAAAAGCATTGCAACCAAATTAAAATAAAGATGGAATGATCTGAGATGAATTCTGAGCTTTGGCCATTAAATGACAAACAATATCCACCAGGTTTGTCTAAGTCTGGCATCTGTCTGTAGAGACAAGCTCACCTGTAATATAGTCAAAAAATTGTTTTTTATGCACATTTTCAATATAACTTGAGAATATAAACAATAATTGTATTTTGCTCTTCAAGAAGCTGCCGTTGCTTTCTTCATTGTAATGCAACAACAAAGTGATCTCAAGTGTTTGTGAATTATTATTGGAGAAGCATCCCTGCAGTGGTCCACGTAGTGTTCCTTGCAAAGTATATTATGTTTATTAGGTGAGCTGATCATGTGAAAAAACATTATCCAGTCATGTTGGTGGAGAACTGTTGAAGTTTCACGGGGCGGATTAATAAAACGAACTAAATAAAACCATAACAGTTGTGACACAGTGAGGTCAGAGCCTCAGACACCTCTACACTGTTAGAAAAAACATCTTAAAAGACAGTAATATCAGCTGGGGCGCCAAAATAATACCGTAAAATAACAGAAAATAACTTACTCATAAAAATA